TGCAGTGGACTCAATGCTATTGAATAATAATTCCCTATTTGTTCTTTTTAAAAAGTATTTTCCAAGGAAGGGTTGGGGATTTAGCTCAGTGATCACCTGCCTCACAAGGGAAAGGTCCCAAATTCAATCCCCGGAACCAAAAAAATAAAAAAAAAAATTTTTAAGGCTAACTGTGGAGAAATCTAAAACAGTTCCTTGGATAATTTTTTTTTTCTTTTTGGTACTGGGGATCAAACTCCATACCTTGCATGTGCAAGGCAGGTAGTGGCACCACTGAGCTAAACCCCCAGCCCCAGCCTTAATTTTTTTTTTTTTTTTTTTTTTTTTTTTTCATGGGTTTCTATTTGTTTAGATTCTAGACTGACCTGGAACTCACTATGTAGCCAAGGCTGGTTTTGAACTCACAGTGATCCTCCTGCCTTAGCCTCCTGAGTGCTGGGATTATAGGCATGTGCAACCACACCCAGCTCCAGCCTTAAATATTTAAAACAATGCTTTTTCCTCCTCATCTTCATAATTCGTGCGAGGCAGGTGGCAGAAACACTGGGCTAAATCCCCATACCTGTTATCTTCATAATTCTTCCATAATTTACATTGTTAAGAAGATTGAAGTCACTTTACAAGATCCTCAAGTTTCTGTCTCCAGATTTTAAAACTTTCGTGTTGAACTGCCATTCTTTCACTTCTCTCCAGAAAGAAGTATGTTTCCTCTGTTACAAAGCTGACCTCTCCATTACCGTTCTTACCCCTCTCTCTGCTCTATCTCCTCTGGGACTATCAGATAGATTTTCCCCTTTTTACCAACCCTTTCCTGCATTGAAAAATGCCCAAGAGTCTCATATAACAATAAAACATAAATAATAATATTTTAAAACATGTATTGAGTATCAACTGTATGCCAATTACTAGGCTAAACACTTAAAATATATTTTATTTAATTCTCATGACCTAATGAGTTCAAATCACTATGAAAAATTTTATTATTTTGATGAAGACGGAGCTTTAGAAATAGCAAGTAACTTTCCCAAGATCAACTAGTGAGTAAATCATATTTTCCCTGCTCCACACTACTCCCTCAAGATACAGTTCTTCTGTTTCCTACCATAGTTCTTGCAAAGTCTCACTTTGTCCTTCTCCCCTGTGCACACAGTCCACTGTAAGTCCTTTTGAGATTCCAATCATACTCAAGGTCTCTAATCTCCAGTGGGGAATTATAGTACTTGTGACTAACTATTCTGCTTTTTGAGACAGTGTTCTCTCTTATTCTCATCTTTTTTTCTGCTTCTCTTCCTGATTTTCTTTACTAATTCCTTTGCTTTCCTTACTCTTTGAAATTCTCCACAATTCCATCTCTCCAGTTTTCTCTTCCTGCCTCACACTTAGCCAAGACAATCCATTTCCTCCTCCACCATCAATTATACCTTCACAGATGAAGAGAAAACCCACATGGCTAATTCTAGCCTCCTATAACCTGGCTTCTGCTCCCTCCCAAAGCATATTTGTAGCTGTTTCTCCAGCACCTCAACTTCTAATACATCTAAGTCATTACCTTCCTCTGTCTGTGAACTCCTCTTGTGCATTTCCCATGACTAAGCATGAGCACTACCTTTAGTTCCTTCACTGCCCTGTTCTCCTTATCCCCAGTCCATAGCTGGTAGATCCCATATCCAAACACAGCTGCTAAGGTGTGTGAGTATAGCTAAATGGTAGAATGCCTGCCTAACATGTAAGTGAAAGACAGAGGGGAAGGAAGGAGAAAGGGTGGAAAGGAGGGCAGTGCCATGTAGCTGCAATCGCAGCACTCTAGAGGCTGAGACAGGAAGATCTTAACTTCCTGGCCAGCCCAGGCAACAAAATGATACTGTGTCTCAAATAAACAAAGAGTTGTGAAGGCATTATGATGGACACATCTCTGAAATGGGAGGGAAATTTGGGTTCTAATCCTCACTTAGCCATCAAGCAGCTTGGTGACTTAGTGACCCAGAAGTGAGACCTACAAAGCCTTTCTTCATACCAATATCCAAAGACTATTAAGCATCTGTGGCATTCATTCATCTTCATGGCCCTCATATTAGTCCCACTAACTCTGCCCTAACTCTTTCCTCCTTGCTTTTTCCTGGGCTATTTAAATTAGGTACGTAACTGGTCTTCTTTCCTCTTTTCTTTATTTCTTTCCTTTGAATGCTGCTTTACGTAGCCATAAGACTACATACATAGAACATAATTAAATGATGTTTCTCACTTGCTTAAAAACTTTCATGTTGTAATCGGGTGTGGTGGTGCATTGTCTGTAATACCAGCACTCTGGGAGGCTGAGGCAGAAGGATTGGAAGGTGGAGACCAGCCTGGGAAATTTAGCAAGACTTTGTCTCAAAATAAAAAGAGCAGAGGAGGACTGAGGATTTCATTCAGTGGCACTGCACCTGCCTTGCAAGCAAGTGCAAGGTCCTGAGTTTGATCCCTGGTACCAAAAAAAAAAAAAAAAAAAAAAAAAAAAAAAAAAGAAGAAGAGCAGGGGAAGTAGCTCAGCACAAAGGCCCTGGGTACAATCTTCAGTCCACCCATTTAAAAAACAAGAACAAGGGATGGGGATTTAGCTTAGTGGTTCTGCCGCCTGCCTTGCAAGCACAAGGACCTGAGTTCAATCCCCAGTACCAATACAATAAAATAAAATACAGGAACAAAAAAAATCACATTTTTAAGAATAAAATTAAAACCATATTTCATTTATAGGCTTCTACATGCTGATCTCAACATAACAAGTGGTAAAATTTCATCTAAACTATACTACAAATATAGTTTGGATAATTATTTTAAAAAAAACACTAACTCACACTTTATACTAAAAATACTACCAAATCAAATATTAAACAAAAGTTTAGAAAATAGTAAATTTGTTTATAAGCATGGAGGTGAAAAGATCTTTTGAAGAGAAAAAACTTAGAGTTCTAAAAGAAAACATTGTGTAAAATTTCCACATTATGTTTAAAAAAATGTATGAACAGAAATGTCTTTAACAAAAGTGTAAAGATTTAAGTCATAGTGCATATCTTAAATAATTTATAATTGACAACACAAATTTTTTAAAAGATCCCCAACACTACTTAAAAATAAAATTCAAAAGCATGAGTTATTTTTTTGCCCTTTGAGAAATAGAGAAAAGGGCATTCATGTAGACTGCTGACGTATAAATCAATACAAACTATTGGAAGTCAGTTTAGCCTGTCAAGCCATATGATGAATGTACTCTTTGATCCTGCAATTCCACTACTAGGAATTTATGCTACAAATGAAATAAGAAAGGTTTTCCCACAAAGAGCTAGCAGTTGCAATGTTGAGATTAGGTGAAAGAGAGAGGGAAGGAAGAAAAACAAAAAAGAAAGAAGGGAAGGGAAAGGAAGGGAGAAAGAGGGAGGAAGGGGAAAGAAGAAATGAAGAGGGGAAGGAAAAGAGGGAAGGAGGGAGGAAAAGAAAATCCTGGAAATAGTCAATGTGTTAGTCAAGAAAAGACTGGCTAAGAAACATTTATACCATTGAAAGCTATGTATAACATTACCTGTAAAAGAATGTTTCTAAAATGTGAAAATGCTCATGATAGCATTAGTTGGAAACAGAAAAGGCAGCTTACAAAATATTTCTTATATGATTCAATTTTTAAATTAAAAAATAGATGTATCTACTATTTCTAGAATATTGAAGAGAATGCCAAGATCTACAGTATATATGCTTTCTTTTCATTTACACATTTCCTAATCACATGTGCATCTTTATAAACAGAAAAAATTTACTTAGAAAGTTTTCAACTTTAGAAAAAGAAAAATATTGTGATCCACAACAAACAATGTATCTAAAAGTATGCCTTGTCTTAGTACAACCATCTTACATGTGCTTTGGACTATTAGTGTGGATTTGAATCTGTATATATGATTGTTATGCCTTGTGTCTAGATGGCCCCAAAAGCTTCATGTGGTTATAGGTGAGGCTTTTTTGGAGGTGGGTAGATCAGGTGTGTGATACTGGGATTAAGGATGTGTGAGTACTAAATTAGTCCACTGATTAGTTTAGCATAGTTCTGAATGTGGATAATGGGAAGGCCCATCCTAAGTGTGACTGCTATCTACCCTAAGGGTGTGTAGCCTAGGTATAACATAAGGAACAGGAAGACAGCCAGGGTGGTTGCTTGCTGCTTCATTACTTTGCTGCTTGTTGCCTTCTGCTTTGCTGCCTGTTGCCTGCCATGAGTTGTTTTTCCTCTGCTATACGCCTCTGCCATGCCACCCTGCCTTGAAGCCAGCCAACTAGGAACTGAAACCTCTATAAATTGTGAACTACAATAAACCTTTCCTCTTTTAACCTTGGGTGTTGGGTATTTTGTCTTAGTAATGAGAAAAGTAACTAAGACAATGATAATTTTCTTTACGTGGTCTTATAAGATGAATGAATCTGACACTGGAAAAAATAAAGAGGGTGGAGGGAGGGGGAGAGAAGGGAATTGAAATGTGTTATGTACAAGTATCACTTCCCTACAGTGAATGTAATCATTATGTACTGTAAACTTATATTAAAGAATCCCCCCAAAAAGGTTTTCAACTTTTAATAGAAAAGGGAAAGAAAATAAGTAATCTATACCTTTATACACTCTATTTCTAGTAAAAACAAACCAAAAAAAACTACCTATAGTTCATGTCTCAGAGGTTTTACAAAAATTAATAGCTAAATGTGGCTGGGGATTTAGCTCAGTGGCACTATCTCTGCCTTGTGAGCACAAGGTCCTGAGTTCAAGCCCTGGTATAAAAAAAAAAAAGTTACAATTAAAATAATCTGAAAGCTCAGTTTAGGATTTGATTATAGGAAAAAGATATGCTCCCACACATTCTAATCTATTTAATGAGTTCTACTCATGCTGCCTCATTCTTCAAATGCTGTCACTCAATATTGCTTAATCCTTGTATGTGTTTATATAAGCAGAACTAGAATTAATTTCATTAATCAATTCCCAGTGCTGACTACAGGGAATCACACCATCTGAGATTGGACCTTCATATTTACAGTCTAGGTGAGTGTCATAACCAGTGTTCAAGTCTATTTATTATCTGCCTGTTATTGGAAATAACAGCAAAAAGGAATCAGTAGTGTTTATACTGCCATCTCCTCTGAAATAATTATAATATTTTTAAAAAGGAAAGTAAGTAAAGTAAAGAGTAAATTTTAACCTAAAAAATGGCAAAAAAAATGTGATTGTATATAGTAAGGTAAAAGACTTGTAGACATGAAAAAAATGCTTTATTTTTTGGAGTAGGACTTCAAAGTATTCCCAGATTATAATTTTGATATATACAGTTCTTAAAAAGGTATTGACTTTCTCAGTGTCAATGATGCCATCATAAAATGTGGTATTTTTCAGTTTCCTATCATGCTGAATTCTGTAAGTTACTGTTGGTTGAAAGCAGAGTTCTTATATTCTATCAAGCTAGTCCATGGTAGTGATAAGAGGGAAACAAAAGTTATGAGATCAAATAATTACTGAAAACAATTAGGTAAGCAAAGGTAGTCAGGAGTCTTCTAACACCCTTACTACCACACCTTTACTATGCTAATTAAGCTCTGACTTTCCAATAGACAAGATACAGATTGGAATAAAGTTTCTTTGGAAATACAGCTTTTCCTAATGACTAAGAAGACTAGGATATGTGTAGTAGCCTTAGATAAAAGAGAAACAGGCAAAAATCATAGCAGTGCAATTTTTATGTTAGTAAAGTGTTATGTCAGTTTCTGTTCTGTGCAGAGTACTATTTAAACTATTTTCTATGCAGTTTAACCACAATATTGTTGCCTAACCCACTGCTCTATATATTATGGTTAAAAATTAACTACTTCTGATATGAAATACAACCCTACTTTAAAGAATATAAGAATATTATTTATTCTGAGCCAATATGTATGACCATGGCACAGGAATATGGATTTAAGTTACTTAGAATAACATATTCCAAAGTGAAATAACTTACATCAATTTTTACAATAAAAAGAACAAGGAAAGTCATAAATTTATCTATACATTCAACAAAATCACTACTGTGGACGCATTAGGTAGGCAGGCAAAGCTAGGAAGTCTTTCCTGTAGCTATCATATGTTACAGCATTCTTAGCTTGAAGGTTGGTGGAGGCTGAGCACTTTTCTAAGTTTAATACATTCCAAGAAGTTCACCTAATAGTTGTGAGACTACAGGTCAAATACAAAGGTTAAAAGAAAGTGGCTATTGTATCTGTAAGGGCTAACCCCAGAAAATTTCTCTCTCAGCCTGGAACTTTCCATCACTCCACAACTAGGATGCTCTTCTCAGTCAAGGATAAAGAGTCACAGGATCTTTATACAGATGTAGCTCCTTCAGGGGATGGCAGCTTCATACTACCGTACTTGGAAATGTAACATTTGAAAGCTGGACAACTGTTTTCGATTAAAACAGGCTGAGCATTTCAGGCTGTCGACAACTCAGATCATTAAAGTTCGGTTGCAATTACTTTCTTTCTATATCCGGGGGTTGGAGGGAGGCGGGCTTGGAATGGAGGGAGAGAGAATGGGGAAGGGCTGGTATCAAGATGAAAGTCCGGAGACTAGATTCTGGTCCCAGTAGTCTTTGTGAGCCTAGGTAAAGCACTTAATCTTTTAGTCTCAGTCCATTCAAAGGCAGTGGGGGGCTCTGTAAAATGATGCATAAAGTTCTGTGCTTCTAAGCACTTGTGATAAGTAAAAGTGGGAGAATCAGAAAAAGTAGGGGTTTGTGTAAAGTCTGTAAGCTGTGTGAAGATAATATTCACTCCAAGAATGACTGAGAGAACAGGGAGTCTTCAACCGGCCTAGCTTTATGGGAGTTCCCTCATTGGAGCTGGCTATAGCCTACTCGCATATAAGATTCTAGCTCCATCTAGAGAAAATAATTTGGAATTTCAACCTCTACAGAGTTATCAGGGACAAATATAAAGGTACCTACATGAAATTTATTTTCTAATGAGTCCTTGAACCCAGAAACTCAATCCTATAACCTAGAAATTCCTCTCTTATTCTGCTAGAAGGGCTGATTCACATGAAGTTTAAAGCAGGTTTAAATTGTAACCATTCATTGGGTAACGGGTTTTCTTTTAGCGTAGCAAAATAAGAGATCAGTCTTTACAAAGGACTATTATCAAGGATATATAAAGAACTCAAAACAATCAGTCCCCCCAAATATAAAGACCCGATCCAAAAATGGGCATCCGAAATGAACAGACATTTCTCATACAAAGAAGTAAAAGCAGCAAGAAAATATATGAAAAAATGTTCCACATCACTGGTCATTCGAGAGATGCAGATGAAAAAAACACTGAGATTCCACCTCACCCCACAAAGAATGGCTGCTATCAAGAAATCACACACTAAAAAATGTTGGCGGGGTTGTGGGGAGAAAGGAACCCTCCTCCATTGTTGGTGGGAGTGCAGACTAGTGCAACCACTATGGAAATCAATATGGAGATACCTCAAAGAGCTTGGACTGGAGGTTCCATTTGACCCAGCCATCCCTCTGTTGGGTATCTTTCCAAGAGAACTAAAAGAATCATATCACAGAGAAATATGTGCACCCATGTTTATAGCGGCACAGTTTGTAATAGCTAAATCTTGGAAACAACCTATTTGCCCATCCGTTGGAAACTGGATAAAGAAGTTGTGGTTTTTCTATAAAATGGAATATTACTCAGCCATAAAGAGCGAGAGAATAGATTCATTCATAGGAAAACGGATACATATTGAAGATATACTGCTAAGTGAAATAAATAAGTCCCGCATGTGTAAATACCAAATAGTTTCCCTGGTGTGAATATTCTGCAACAATGCATAAGATTCTAATAAGATTACTGACATTTAGAAATGGGAGGAAAGGAGCTAAAGGTGTAGGGAAGGTGTGATACGTAGGGGAAGAACAAAACGGGAAAAGAAAAAAATGTGAGAGAATGAAAAGATGAAAATAAAGTGTTTGTAGATGGGGAGGGGAGGAGGGGGTGAAGGGAGGGCAGAGGTAAGGGGAAAAAAATGAGAATCAAGACTTGCCATGTAAAGGTACATGATCCCAACAATGAATGTAACTGTACTGTATCCCTAAATGTACCAATAAACTCAATTAAAAAAAAAAGAGAGATCAGTCTTTAAAAACAAAATCAGCAATGAAGTATTGGTAGAATTCTAGGAAAGGTCAGAAAGAGTGTAAAACTGGAGCAGAAATTCTGCTGCTTCTACAATCATAGCAACAGTGTCACATCTTATTACGAAGCTAGCTTGCAAGATTATACCGAAAGAACATGGGGCTTTCTGTAATTTATGAGAGAATTCTGTATTCTTTCAGTATGATATGACACTGTGACATAGACTGACTATAAAATAGAACATCCATTGTCTAATCCTTGACTGAATTAGGCTGGGAACTACAAGATGGTGGTTTTTCTTTATTTTTCTTTTATTAATTTTATTGGTACAGTTAATATATACATTATTTTTAATTAATTTTGGTTTTTCTAATTCTATAATTTCTGCTGTAATGAATACATCACTTTATATTAATTCATTCTTGAGGAAAACTATGGACTTGTTTCTTTTTCATTAAATACATATAGACAATCACTATTATTATTATTATTATAAATTATTATTATAAATACTACACTCAGATTGTGCCAGATTTGGCTAGGGAGAGTCTCTTTAAATTAGCTCATATATGCTTTCAACACAACCTCTCTAGTTTTTGAAAGATTCACTGCTTTCTGGTACAACAAAATGTTCCATATTCACTGGTATTTTCCTAGCCCCAGATCTGGAGTTCCTTCTAGTGGAAAAAGAACTTAGAAATTAAGATATGGGCACACGTTTATGTCTGGGCATTTATTTATTGCTGACTCAAATTACATGATAGGGATTTTTTTTCCTCTTGGCTTCAATTGTATCTTTATATCTCCTTCCCCTTTCAGTGAAAATTATGTAACATCAATATATCTATTTGCTTTGCACTATAAAAAAACTATTTTAGAATTTCAATAGCAATATTACTACTGACAATAAATACAGTAAGTAAAGTTTAAGATTTCTTTGCAATTTTTTGTTGTGACTGTGTTATACTATAAACATATGGCCAGAGTACTACACTCAAATTTTACTATCATAATTATTTTTACTATGTAGTTGTGTTATCAATTTTATGCTGTATTAGTTATGGTTATTTGTTTGTTTTCAAGTTGAGATAGTTGAATTAACATGATATTTTAATCCAACAGAGGCCTGAAAAATGAAGCCTAAAATGAAGTATTCAACCTCTAAAATTTCTTCAGCAAAGCTGAACAGGAGAGGTGACAAAGCCCTGATAAAATCATGCAGACAACGAAGTAAGGACTTAAGTATTCCTATTTTTTATACACTATTTTAAAATATGGTATGAAATCTTTATTATTCCAATAATCATAAATGAAATTGTACCAAAAGCTACTGGGAATATAAGAACTGAAACAAAAAAAGATAGCTCATAAAGGCTTAATTTGACAGACCTTGGTTTTGAATAGGCTATAACCAACTTGTACTTATTTAATACATCATGGGATAGGAATAGTGCAGATAATTTAAGCCTATGAATAGTGTAAAAGTAATTATAGACTTTGATATAAAAGAATATTTACTCTCGCCACACCCCTTGCCACCAGGTAATTCCCAACTTTTCCCCTAATTAACCAAAACATTCTAAACTGATCCACTGTCATTCAACAAAATATTTGTTAAGACCTTTTGTGTATCATACATGGAGTTTTGACTTGCAACTACTGATGGAGAGAGTAACAGGGGAAGATATATGAATAATCCAGGCCCCAAATGGAACAGAATTAACCAGATGATGTCCAAGTTTATCTAGTTACAAACTTGGAGCTCAGAATAAGATAAAATAAAAATAAAATCAATAAAGCTGAGATGAAATGGCTGTGAAATTATCTACCTAGAAAAGGAATCATGCAAATTTATACAAATATCTCCACATGGGAGAAGTAACAGAAAAGACAGTTCATAGAAGCTGGTGGACCGCAGAAAAAATGGAGGATGAGAAATAATGGTAGAGATTAGAGTACCCTTGTCCTTCATGCTTCTTACCCTTTCCCTGAACACCTTTAAGGCCAGAAGAGAAAACAGTGTTAAACAATGTCATTTCTGTGCCCTTCTGTCTGCCACTGCTCTTTAGTAACCAGGAAAACATTAACTTGACAAGAGTTTCTGAATAACTAGGAAATGAGTTAAATTAACCTTTGTAATTGTAGATGAATCAAAATGCTCTTTGCAGAAAGTGACTCAGTGAAAGTTACCCCATGACCCTGAATACCTTCTTAATAAAAAAATGCATTTTATCCCAAACCCAGGAAATAAGGGCTGTTTGTAGTTACTAGAATGAAGGTGAAGACACACCCAGATGTACTGGGGTCAATGCCAAAGTTAAAAAATATCTTCTCCTTATGGGTGCTGTGGCCCTATTTATCTATACCATGTAGAAGTCAGTGATAATCACCAAGTGATATGCATGGCTTTGAAATACATCACATTATCTGTATTTTTTTATCATGCTTTCAGCAGATCTTCTTTCCAATAACACTGGCTAGTTTAATACTAAAACTATAATTATTAAACACCCCTAGTTAAAATTTAACAGGTATCTATGTGGTGTTTGTGATAGGAATGAACTACTTTTCAAAACTCAAAATGTAACAAATATCTTATTTTTCTAAATAAATTTCTGCTCTGAGGTCCCAAGCAGAAGGGCCAGAAAGCATTATTTAACTCGTTTTCCTACCTCAGGTTACCAGAATCCAACAATCTATAGGTCACAAAGTCACAAAACTCAGTATCTCACCACAACAGGTATCCATATATGGAAGAAAATCCCATCTTAGTTCTGGTTGCTCCGGACAGTTCACCACTGGTGCCAATGGAGTACAGAACTGCCTGACCTGGAGGAAAGGCTCTTTCCAAACTTCACACCTTCCCAGTTTCCAGAAAGATTCCTCAGGGTCAGGCTTTTCTCCTCTCCTGCTTCCTTTCACTTGTGTTCATTAACATTCTCTCTTCACTCACAACCCAGTCTCCTTCATTCATGAATCTAGCCAGAGGTCACATATGGAAGCCCTGGACAGACTCATCCAGCAGAAGTGTTTTGTTTGACTTCAGTAGTATTACTGATTTTTTAAATTGAAGCAACTTTTAAAACTTAGGAGATTTTCCCTAAGAATCGAAATGTGTAGTTTCTCTCCTAAAAAAACAAAAGAAAGGGATAAAGAGATGGGTGAGATGAAAAAAGGAATTAAGATGTACATATAATGCTCCATTTTGTATCAACTCCCCACAAGGAATGTAAACATCATGTACTACACACATGTACTAATAAAGTAAATCTAAAAATATAAACACAAGGTAGCTCAGTGCTACCACCACCTGCCTCGCAAGCACAAAGTCCCGAGTTTGATCCCTGGTACCAAAAAGACAAAACAAAAACAAAAAACACTGGACCCATGTCCCTGCATGGCAGTAGTTGGCTAAAAATAGGTAGCACTCAACCCCGTTGACTCTATCCATGTGAGATCTTTGTTATTCAAGGAGTTTCAACTTCATCTTGTGGACAGTAGGGGATCCCTAAAAATGTTTAACTGGGGAATGATACAACGTTTTTAAAGAGATCACACTGGTGGTATAAAGATAGAGTAAGGGGGAAAGAGTAGAATAGAAACTAGTTAGTTTTACTGCATTCACGTAGAGGACTAATGACGAAGGCCTGACCCAAGATAACAATGGAGAGGAAAGGCTGCAGTTCAGATAAATTTGGTATATGTGCTGTTGAAGCAAGAACTGTTCAGATAAATCTGGAAGGTGAAATCAGTAAGACTTAATGGTATACTGAATACACTGAAGGACAGAAAGAGAAAAATGGATGATTCTCAGCTTTCTGATTTAATAATTGGGAAGAAAATGGTAGGTAGCTGTACTGTTCTTCAAGAAGGGAATTCAAAGGAAATATACTGGGCGTAGAAATAAGGACATTTTGGTGATGATGATGACTGGCATATCTTAGTTTGGAGTATCTATAGATCTTTCAGGTAGAGATGGCCAGAATTCATTCAAGAGGAAACACAGATATAGAGATATTTTAAGGTTGCTAAATCAAAATGCTATGTAAAGAAAGAGAAACAGATGAGAACAAAGATAGACACAGTTCCACTTCTAGGAGTCATCAGCCTCTACACAGATGACTGAAATCATTGTAGCAAGCAAGATTGCCCAGAAAGAAAGTTTAGAAAGGAGAAAGAAAGAAAGCCTTGATATTTTAGGAGCAGAACTAACAGAGACAGATGGACCGATCCAAGAGAAACAAGGGTGATCTGGCAATAAGAGAAGAGGGGTTCAAAGAAAGATGTGGTCCCCAGAGTCAAATGCCACAGGTAGCTGAAGGGCATAAAGTAGTAAGAGAACTAGAGGGAGAAGAACTTTATTTTTGCTGACAGTTTCAGAGGTTTCAATGCACATTCTCCTGGCTCTGAGATAGAAACATGGTGGAAGGCTTTGGGGAAGGAAAGCTGCTCAACTCATGGCATCTGAGAAGCAGAGGGCAGGGGAAAAGCCCAGGAGGAAGGGGCTGGGAACCAGGAATGGGCCCCAAGACCATGTTCTAATGACTCATCCAGGCACACCCAGAAGCATTTCTAGTGCAATCAATCAGGTTGACAACCAAGATTAACCAACACATGATTCTCCTGCTTCAGCCTCCTGAGTAGCTCATATGACAGGAAAGTGCTACCATGTCTGGCAACACTTCAAATATAATTACACTACCTGTGAATTATATCGAGCAGTTATCCCACGAGATGCTAGTGCCTACATCTATAACTCCTTCTTAATCCCTAGGTTTCTTATTTTACCTCTCGAATACCTCCCTCAATATCATGACCCTCACTTTGAATTCCCCAAGACTCATATTTTGCTCCAGAGACTCCAAATGTGATATTAGACATGGCTGTCATGTCCCCTGTGTAATGCTGACCACAAAATAAAGACAAGCATGTGAGAATGAGGATGCTTTCAGTATGGTCTTAGGTCTTTTACCTTTAAAGGGACAATGTGAGCCAGTTTAGAAAGTATTGTGTTAGTCATCAGATCAAATATGCTGCTGGCTCTAGCTCTAGTTACCTTTGTAAATTATCTTTGTAACTGTAAGAGTACTTTATAAAATGAGATGTTGTAGATGAAATTGCTGAATTGTGAAATGATATTAGGGCATTTCAGGACAGATGTGAAAAACAGCTTCTGATCTAAATTGCAGGCATCATGTGGATAATGCAAACTACTAGATAATAAAAGTTTATTCCACTTGGCTTTAAAAAGCATTATATTTGGAAGGCAAATCTTCTAGGAAAAAAAATCACAGAATGGCTCCTTGGTCAAGAATAACTATTTTTTTCTGCATTACTGTGAATAATTGAAATTTGACAATCTTACATAAATTACTTAATAATTCATTTACTACAATGTTGAAAATTGAGATCATATGACATATTACAACTGTCATTTCATTTGTAAGTTTATGTGTGAGACAAATTTTTCTTTGGATAAATGAACTAAGAATTATCGATTAACTTTTCTACTTCCACTGATTTAATGTGAATTTTCATTTTCTTAGTCCCTCCAATTGCAGTGTAGCATTTTCTTTTCTTTTTTGTTTGTTTGTTTGTTTGTGGTACCATGGATCAAACTCAGGTCCTTGTGCTTGCAAGGCAGGCAGCGAAACCACTGAGCCAAATCGCTGGCCTTTCTTTTAAAGAATAGCTTTGTTATTAGACCTTGCTCAGTCACTTCTCACCAGCCATGTAACCTTGGGCAAGTGTCCTGCCTCCTAAAGAGCCTCATATTATCATCTGCAAAACTATCTACCTTGCAAGATTATTATGAAGGATTAAATTAATGGTTAGTACATTGTGTGGTTCACTGTGGATAATCAGTAAATGACTGTTATTTTAATATCAGTGACCTTTATAGAATACAGCCATCTCGCCAAAACTATTCAAAAGTATGTTCTAGATAAGTAGAAAAGTCTCAGATTTCATATGGCCATGAACACATCCCCTGAGTTAGGCAAAGGTTGGTGTATATTTGGTATGGGCTCATGTTCTTTCACATGAAATTTTGCAAACCAAAAAACTCTTTCCAAAGATCAAAAGGTTTCCATGAGTCATTTGGCAGCAAAATTCAACCTGAACTCATTAGTCCATTAAATCCTGAGCTGAACTAAAATGAGGTCTTTATTTCACTCCGTAAAACTTCAGGTTTCATTATAAAATTAATGTTTCATTAAGGAGTGCTACCCTAGTCCCTGTTGGAGGTGCTACATATAGACAGTATATGCTCTACATTACAATTGTAAGATCTAAAGAGCTCTGAAGCTTGAAACATGACTGGTCTCAAGACACTGAATCTGTACTTACTTTTTTGGTCCGTTACACTTAGGGTTTGGAAGATGATAAAGGTTAGAATGCAACAGTATCACAATTTTTTCAACTCTTTAGAATGCCAAAAGAAGGCTGAAGAAATCTGCCACGAGTACTACATGAAGCTACGCTCTGGGCTTACCATAAAAAAGAAAGCCTGCTACTTTAGGAAAGAAATCACCAAACGATGTTCACTAAAAACAGGTAAGGGAAAGAAATTGCATTTCCTAGAAATAGCAATGAGCCTTTGCTTACCAATCTGAATATATTAATTTTTTTCCTTACCCAAATTTTGCATGAGGAAAAGAGTAAAAATGATAAAACTTTTTACTGGCTGTTTCAAAAGTGTCTATCAAGTTGTGAAGCATGAGAGAAATGATTAAGTTACAATGTTAAGCAAAAACAGGATACAATATTATGTATGAATGTATTTTACAATGTTGGTGTTTGTTTTATTTAACAGAAGTAAACTAAAAGGTCCATAGCAGTTGCTCTTTGAATATTCTTCTCTTTGCATGTTTATTCTTCTTCATATACTCTTCTGAGGTATGAGTGAACAGAAGGTATTGATTCTGTCAGACCACGGGGGGCCAAATTCCTGAGATGGTTACCACATTCAGCAAGCAGTCTTGACTGTGACTCATCAAAAGAGCATGGCATCTGTCCAGAGCAGAGACTGATAGTTCTTCCTTCCTCTTTTGCAGGTGGAACACACAAACAACAGTATCAGCTACTTGCCTATGAACAGCCTATCATGAAAAACTCTGTCCTTAAAGTATATGAGATCCAAGAGCATAAAGCATCAGATATGCCAAGTATTGGAGGTATGACAGGTCACAGGAGAGGAATAGGGTTGAAGAAGGAGGAAGACACAGGACCCTAGCAAATGCTGCTCCAGGGAGTAGATCTAAATCTGTGTCTTCACATGTATCCGCAATTTCTGTCTACTTGCTGATGATGTACCCCGCTAGTGATGTCCAAACTAGGTGCAACAGAGCTGATCTAACAATGTGCACACGTTCTATAGTCAGCAATGCATCATTACTTTGAAATACCTGTCACAATATAGAATGGAATCTCATACACTTTTCCTAATGAAAATGAGATGTGGAGCCTGGGATTTAGCTTAGTGGTTCCACCACCTGCCTCTCAAGTGCAAGGTCTGAGTTCGATCCCCCCCCCAAAAAAATGATATGTAATTTTTAAAAATACAGTGAAGGCTTAAAATTTTTTAAAATATTACAGTAAAAAACGTGGCTACTAACCCCCCTCAAAACACTCCTTACCTTAGAAGTCCACATAGAAATTCAATATTTTATACTCTCCTTTAGTATTCTGTATATTTTTCCAAGTATAGTTCTGGAATGTAAAGAAGATACAGTGATTGTTCTTCTTTTAGACTATTTATTTTGTAGTATTGGGGACTGAACCCAGAGCCCTCACACTGAGCTGCATCCACAGCCCTTTTTTATTTTTTATTTACAGACAGGGTCTTGCCAAATTGTTTAAATTTTTCAGGCTGTGCTCTAACTTGCCACCTTCCTGCCCAAGACTCCCAGAGTGCTCAGATTACAAGTGTGCTCGGCCCAGATACAGAATAAGGTTTTATTCGGCAGAACCCATATGGGTAGCCCTAAATTTGCTCCAGTTTATCCCCACGGCTTTAAAAATATTATTTTCTAAGTGGGCTGTAACAGTTAGCTGTAACTGTTATTTTGCCAGAGTCTAGAATTGGGTTTACATCTGCACTCTCCCAGATTGTTAGAAATCCTAAATCACCACACCTTATAGATGGGCATTCACTTACATTAATCTATCAAAGTAGTCTTTTCTTTCCCATGGTTCCTTACCCTACGGGGTAGAAATGGAGGTTTCCACAAGCAATGCCTGCCACTTTTCAGCTTTGTCCCCACCTAGCACTAACATGGCTCTGAGGTCATTCACTCAGGAGACTAGCACCTTTAATCTCAGCCTTTTGACGAGGTAAAGCTTCAGCCTAAGTATAGCTCAAATTTGAAAAAAAAAACCAAAAAGCCACCTTTGTGAAGCACTTCAAAAAATATTTTGCCAAATTAAAAATACTTGCTCACGGGAACACGTTTTATGAATTCTTTATAATAGCAATTTCACTTGTTACAGAATCTTGTGCTTCCCTAAGTACATACAATGATCAATCCATTAGTTTTGTTTTGGAGGATGGAAGTTATGTGATCAATGTTGAAGACTTGGGCAAAGACCAAGAAAAAGGTAGAATACTTCCTTATATCTATAATTATATAAATTATGACCGATAAATTAAAATTAAATCTAGCAAACCATCTACAATGGATTAATTCAGTTGTAGCAAAGAGATTTCATGCTCTGTGCTAATTCATTTCAATGCATTGGCTGTGGATGTCTAGAAATCACTGTGGAAAAGGACTCAGTAGTTTATAGGATTCTTCAGGGGAAAATGCAGATATTATTAAGTGTATCTGCTGGGAAATATGGAAAGAGGGACCACATGTATTTTCTATTCTAAATTACCCAGTAGATCCTTCCAGCCTTACAGACATCACCAAAGTACAATCTTTAGCAAAAGGATATGCCATTGCTGTAATGTTTTAAATAATTTTTTCAGTTTTAATTGAGTTTATTGGTACATTTTAGGGATACAGTACAGTTACATTCATTGTTGGGATCTTGTACCTCTACATGACAAGTCTTGGTTCTCATTTTTTCCCCTTGTCCCTGCCCTCCCTTCACCCCCTCCTCCCCTCCCCATCTACAGCCACTTTATTTCCATCTTTTCATTATCTCACATTTTTTTCTTTTCCCTTTTTACCCTTCCCCTACCCGTCCCACCTGTTTTAAATATTTTAATAAGTATTTTGAAGAATTCATCAGAGTATATTCACTTTTTGAGATCTTTCTTAGAACCACAAGCTTTACTTTTGTTGATGCATAATAAATAGGGAGGATATTTTCTGGCACTATGTACTATGTATGATAGACTTGAATTTTTTTATAAAATTACATTGTCAGCAAAGTGATTTTATGCATTCTCTTTCAGACAAGGTACTATTGCGTTACTATGAGTCTCAGTATCCCTCAAGTGAATCAGGTAATTTGGAAGCCTGGCTAGCTAGTGTTTAAATTCTTAACTTTGAGGTAAAGCTAAATTCAAAATACCCAAGGAAAAGGAAGACAGTTTCAAAATGTTCTGTGCAACCTAAGGTCATGATAAAATTTTAGATCCAGAGAGAATTTATTCCATCTCATCAACTTTTAGATTAAAAGGATAAAGGCTTAGCTATATGTAATAAATATCTCTTAGACAGTTCTGCTCAAAGATCATCTGGATACAGAGCTTCTATTTTGTGCCTCTGCTAGCATCTACATACCAGTAGTTTTAAGATTCCCTGCCACCTTAACAACATCTAATTAGCACATGCAGACGAACATGTAGTCTCCCTTAGAGCTGGAAGTTGCATCCAACACTTCCATTCATCTCACACTGGTCAGAACTTAATCCTATTGCTACACTTAGCCACAGAAGGCAGGCTAGGAAATATTCTAGTATATAAGAAGAGGAGGTGAATATTGGGAGACAACTATCCGCAGTTTTATAGACAGATAGGGGAGCTAATGCCCAGAGAAGTGCCCATCAGAGTTGCAAGGGTCCAACCTGAAAACATATTTTTAAAAACTAACCTCTCTTCTTTAAAGGATTTAGAAGTACCTCTACTTTCCTAATAATGACTCAAATATTTCTAAGCAATTTTGCTTAAAAATCACACTCTTTTCCTGGGTGTTAAATTCGTTGAAGTTGTGTTACCAAGTCTTAACTTTATAATTTATGATTTTTCCTTTCTTCATTTTTAATTGACAGATACAATTATATATATAATATGTGTGTATATCATATACAATATGAATTTTAGAAGTATATATATTGTGGGGTGGTTAAATCCAGCCAATTAACAAGTGCGTTACCTCACATAATTATCTTGTGATTTCAAGGTGACGGTGTTGATGGCAAGCTGTTAATGGTAAATTTGAGTCCTACAAAAGACACAGACTTCTCGTTGCATGCCAACAAGAAGGAGCACTCTGTGGAGGTAACAGAAACGTGATTATATATCGTAGTTGATTACATCTATTTGTGTATATTTGGGTATTGTGTTTGGAGTATTTCAAAGGAGTTCAGTTTGTGCTGTTGTAAATAAAACACTTACAACTACTGGCTTGCTTCTGGGTAGAGAGGGAATTAAGAAAAGTGTAATACTGTATGTGACCTTGCTACTCAAAGTGTCTCTGCCGGCTTCATAAAATCACCTGGGAACTTGTAAGAAATGCAAGATTTCAAGCTCTTCCTTGCCTGAGTCAGAATTTCAGCATCTTAACAAGTCTCCAGGAGATTCACAATTTCATTAAAGTTTGAAAAATGCTGCTACACAGAATGATCTCAAATTCTATTTCGTTTTACAACTACATTGTGCTCTTCTAGGAAGTGTTTCTCAGTGAAAGAATTTTATGTCCCAAGTCTCCTAAAAGGAGAGTAGCAAATATCTCCATATGTCATGATTTATGGATAAAATAACAATCTGCATTGCAACCACAGGATTTGCTGCATATTCTTTACTTAGTAAATAGTAGCATTATATTGGTCGTGATAAGGAATTATTAACATATTGAAGAACAAACAAGCCAAAGAAGCAAAGATGAAAACATGAAAAGTACAATAATAAGATAAATTATATGAATGCATAAAAATTATAAAGATAATACAGTCATCTAAAGCATTACTATACATTGTACGGTACCCAGCATTTTCATTAACAAAAGATTTCTAAGTGTACATAATACAGTGCCTAGCATATATGACTATTCAATAATAAAGATAATTCCTACTGAGCTCTCTATTATATACCAATCACTTGCTAAATACTTTGGACGCACTCTCATTTAATTCTCAAAGTAAGCCTCTGATGAAGTAATTATATTGGTCAGCTACTGCTGTGTAACAAACTATCCCTAAAACTTAATAGCTTAAAATAATAATAATTTATATTAATCATATGCCTATAGGTTGAGAAGTAACTCATCTAGAAAATTGACTATACTAAAAAATTGATCCTTGAGAGGTAAAGCAAAATGTCTAAGGTTTTACAGATAGTACTTAACAAAAAAAAAAAAAAAAAAAAAAAAAAAAAACTGCTGCATCCAGATCTAGTCATTGTGAGAGATATTACCCCTCTAAATATATTTACTGTCAGCAATTAAGTCAAATTCTGTGCCAACCTTTGTCCTTTACTTCTTCCTCCCTCCTTCCTCCTATTGAGTAAGTAGGCTTGCTAGAAATATCAATTTATAAATAATCATTCTCTTTAGCATCTAACACAGGAAGGAAAAGTTGATTCTGTACTTCCCACTCACATACTGATGGCTTTTTCTCTTGTTTCTTCAGCTCCAAAAATGTGAAACCACATTGCCAGACCAGGCTTTCTTTGTCCTTCATAAGGAGTCCTCTGAATTCGTTTCATTTGAATGTAAGAGTAATCGTGGAACATACATAGGAGTAAAAGATAATCATCTTGCTCTAATAGAAGGAAAGAATCCAAGTAGTGAGAATATCATGTTTAAGCTCTCTCAGATTTAATATGATGGAAAGCTGTGGGTCGGGCATGAGCAATTCAAATGCTGTCATTGGAGTAGGGATAAGAATGCTGTATAAGATTTTTCTTATATGTGTAAAAATATTTTTTCTAATCCTGAAGTTCTGTCTTTATTTCATTCTGTATCACTACAATGTTTAATAAAAGTATGAATTCAGTATTGACTTTAAAAAACCTTGCTGACTTTTAAAGAATGGAGTCACAACATATGTTAGGGCACCCAAGTAGCAGGAGATCCAAGTATCATGGCAGAGTGAAGTCCTCTAACCTATGAGGACTGAAGAGAGACATAAAATTAACTTTTAAATATTAACTGGTATACTATGCATGCTATGCTATACTATGGCCTTCTGATACTGGTTTCCAAAGATCTATGACTTCTGACAGACTCCATCATGCTGGATAAAATTTCTTCTAATCTTTGCTTCTTGTGTGTACAAGTCTTCTTTTTGTCCAGCTTCTCAAAGATTCTGCTCACTGTGGAATTTAATTTCTGTCCCTTCTTTAGTTATTATGACCAACATATCCTTAATATATCTCTTGCACCTCATTTTGTCTGACCTCTACAAGCTCTACCTGACATTGTAAAATTTTATATACACCTACTTATATACACCTACTGAAGACAACATTTTCAAAAAAATTTTATTGAGTATATTGGTAGTTTTTAGGTATACCTTATGATATTAATCATTGAGAATTTGTACCTGTACATGATAAATCTTAATTCTTATTTTTTTCCCATTCCTCTGCCCTCCCTTGAACCCCTTCAAACCTCTCTATGAACATAAGCTTTGTTTCCATTTAGATGGCAACATTTTTATTTCAATGTCTTTGTACTCTGCTGTTGAAAAGTAGGAAAATTTATGCTCAACCATACAGTAACATTATTAACTACTAAAGGAATGTTTTGACTTTATTTTTTGCTTATTTTAAAGCCTGAATTTCAACGGTGCTTCATAGGCTGAACACTTACAATAAATGACCAACATAACAGGAGACATAATATATGACTATTTCTGAAATCTAGTTTGTTGAAACCTATAAGATATAATTGTTCATGAAACAAAGTAAAAGAGGCTTAGAATTACTGTATAAAATTATACGATGATAGAACAGTATAACTTTGTTTCATTAATTTGTCAATAATTTTACTATGGAGACAAAATAAAAGTAGAATCTAATCATTCTCTCTGAAAAACACCAAAGGATGGACCATATGCATATGTACAATAAATGTAAAATAATTATTAAGTAACCAAATATATCCATTACCTTACTTATCAACTGGAATAAACCATTTTTTCAAAAGTATGTGTGGCCTCAGTGCTTTTATCATAAGATGACACAGTATTCTGGAATTCTTAAGTGAAAGTAAGCATACCCCAATCTATAAAAACTGATACATAGACTGGGTTATCTGTCTGATAATTTGGGACTCAAACCTAAGATTTTCCAGGGAAGGAACTGTGTCTATTTTGCCTTTGTTTTCTCAGTGTCTGTTGTGGTAACAAGCACAAAGGAAGTACTGGGTGACTTTTATTCAAGCTCAGCCAACATGTACCTGCATCAGAAATTTACCTAAAATTTCTGATGCATTTAAATTTCTTTTGAGACAACTGTTTATTTCTTGTGTCTTATTTTTATTTTTTAAAAACAGTATCAACCATTACTACAATGAGTGTTGATCAATATTCAAATGTATAAACCAGAAGTGGTACATGCCTGTAGTCCTAGCTACTCGGGAGATTGAGACAGGAGGATCCCAATTGCAAGGACAGCCTGGGAAATTTAGCAAGTCCCTGTCTCCAAATAAAAATAAAAAAGGACGGGGATGTAGTTTAGCGGTAGAGCACTTGACTATCATTCACAATGCCTTGGATGCAATCATTAGCACTAAAAATATATATACAAATATTCCAATATTTGGCAATTTCTGAGACTGGAGTAACTACAATGTAGTTACTACAAAATGTGACCAGGGAATATAAAGAATGCCATTACAAAGTGTCACACAGTGGAAAGGTAGGCATCTTCAATATGAGAAGCAATGCCTTGAACCTTAGTAAGAAAGTCTGACAAGTTTCAATTTGTCTGGTGTAGTCAGTTAGTATTAGTTATGATTGAGAGAAGGTGTGTTTTAAGGTGTGTTGTAAATCATGAATCACAAACAACACATTTCATTAAAGTTGTTTGATCATGCTTCTTCAGATTATAGCTTTTTAAGAAATGTCATCAGAGGAGATGAAACTTTGGTCTATGTTTATAATTCTGAGACCAAAGTTAAGAGTTCTCCATGAAGACCACCCACTTTTTATGCAAAAAAGCATATCAATTAAAATCCAAAATCAAGGTGATGTTGATTGTGTTTTTTGACCCTAATGGAATTATACCAGCTGAGATTGTACCCAGGAACACTACGGTGACTTCTGACTATTATAAGAACTTATAAGAGTGTTTAAAAAACTACATGTGACAAAAAAAGAAACTACATGTGAACATTAAAAGGGCTTATTATGTTTAAAAAACAAGAAAACAGCCTGAGAAACAGGCAGTTTTCCTCCACTAGGACAATGCTCCGTGTCACACACTGATTTTGGTTTGGCAGTTTACATTACAGTGTGTCCTCATGCTCCTTATTCATTAGATCTGGGACCATGGGATAATCTGGATCTTCCCCAAAGTCAAAACGATCATGAAAGGCCAATCTTTTGACTCAGTTCAGGACTTCAAGGCAATCACAAGATCATAATTAAAGACATTCATGAAAGAGGACTTGTAGAACTACTTCAGAAAGTGGTCAGGATTCTGGAATAAGTGTGTTCAAAGCAAAGGGAAGTATTTTCAGGACTAATCATAATGTGTCTTTTATTGTAATAAATTTTTAAAATTTAAACATTCATATTTTGATCTTATCTTAGAATTCATTAATATCAAGTAGATCAGAAAAACAAAAGCTGGATCTTGCAGGAGGATCAATAAAATTGATAAACCTTTAGACAGACTGATCAGGGGAAAAAAGAGAGGGGATACAAATTACTGTTAGTAGTAATAAGAGATTAGATAACACTACAGTTTCTGAAGTCTGAACAATACTAGAATAATTTTGACAAGTTTTATGAAAATAGACAAACTCCTCAAAAGACACAAGCTACCAAGACTAACCCAAGAAGAAGCAAACCTGTGTCAGATCTCTGTGTTCAACCACCCCACACTATGGAGGGCAGGAGATCTCCCTTCACTAACAGGGTGAACAGGAGGTATTCAGAACAGTTAGCAGCCTTTTGCTGAATGGAGAAAAAGTGGCTAACAGGACCTCAAGGAATCTCAGACTCATAACCTTTTACATTCCTTACCCACATTGCAACCCATCCCCTTCCACCCAAGACCATCAGATCTCAGGCTCTGCATCTCTGTATGGACTGATAAGTCTCTGGATCAGACCTCTTTCCTGAAGGGCAGGCCAACCATGCTTCCATTTGACTACAGGACACCACCACTTAGATATGCTGCAGATTCTTAAATTCAATACAACCCCAACCAGATGTACTTTTCTTCTATCCCCTCACCAAAGTCACTCTCTTCATCTTTGTATAACCAGCAGTCAACACAGTGGCCTGGCACTTTAAACAATTTATTATTAAATATTTAAAGTAGTCAGTTGGGCTGTTGGTAACTGGTTTGCCCTCTTCTGCTACTTGTTGCTGTGTTCCTTAGTTCAGAAGTACTCCAACATTAATATGCATAGAAATCATCTGGAAAACATATTAAAACACATTTTCAGGGCCCCAACCACAGAGATCCTGATTTATTAGCCTAAGGTGTAACGTATAAATTTGTAATTCTTACAATCCTGCAAGTGATAGCAGTGCTGCTGGTCAGAGGATCCCACTTTGAGAATCACTGCTCCAGATCACATAAGTGCATGGTCACTGATCACCCAGACTTTAGATTTCTATTTTGAATGATCATTCTCTGTTGTAGCAAATCTTAGGGGACTCTGACATTTGTTTTACTCTAAAATCTGACACCTATAGTAACCTTCTGCCAGCTTTCTCTCTTTTTTTTTTTTTTTCTTTTTCGTACTGGGGATCAAACTAGGGTCCTTGTGCTTGCGAGACAGGGGGCGGAACCACTGAGCTAAATCCCCGGTCCTAGCTTTCTCATTTTTACTGGAAAATCCACCTTGCTATCAATATTTAAACTTTCCTAGTTCTCCTGTCTTACCTAGACTAAAGGACTTGAACTTGCCACTTTTCAGTCTTGCCATTCAGCCTAATATTTGCAAAGGCTGGAGTGCAAAGTGACGACAATACTACATAATGCTAAATTTGCCAAAGACAAAAATTCTCAGTTTCTGCTTCAGTTACATGGCACAATCTAAGCTTTCCTAACACAATTAATCTAAAGGGAAGGATAGTATTTTTTGCATCCAACTACCAACCACATTTGAGCAGTACCTTTCTAGAAACCACAGAACTAATCAATGAAAACAGCCATGAGATGTGGGTTACTTCTGGGTTGGACATCCATATTAGTGAAAGCATGGTGGACAGCAAAAAGCATGAGCTTGGTAGTAGAGATCTGGGGTTCTAATCTCACTTTCTGCCAGCTATTGAACTTCATACACTGAACCTCAGTCTCTTTGCCTATGAAATGGGGCCAAAATATCACTCAGGACTCTAGAGAAGACAGAATACGGAAATGGCTCTAACTATCTAGCATAGTACCTGGCCTATATTAGAATGAGTCAGTACAAACTGTTTCCCTCCCTCCACATGCACTTATAATTTAATCCCCAACAGGCCTTTTCTCTGACTCAAGGAGTTGTATTCAAGAAAAACAAAGAAAGATGGTTAAAATTTGTGTTTTTCTTTGGCTCAAAGGGGCTGGCAGTGATTTCTCACAACAGAATATTGCAGCTACATAGTTCCCCAAACAGAGGTATCATGTAAAGTTAAACATAGGCGAGCTTGGGATTTAGCTCAGTGATTCTGGGGCCTGCCGCACAAATACAAGGGCCTGAATTCAATACCCGGTATCAAAAAAAAAAAAGGCAAGAAAATTAAATATTTTAATACTTTTTGATACTGATTACAAGATATTTCCCTTGTGCATTACTGCTCTCTGCTTCTACTGACAGAATAATTGCAACATTAAGCAACTACTTTGGAATTTTGGAATGAGCCTCACTAGGACAGCATAGATTTAAACAGTGTTTCTCCAATGATCAGTCTTGAGTAATTATGATTAAGAATTTTAAACAGAACAATATGAAGTAATTTAGTAATTCATTTTCATGCAACTATTTGTCAGGAATTTTTTTTTCAGTTTCCCTCTGGAATTATCATCAAGCACCCACTGCTGGAAATAAAAACAGAAAAGCATCCAATATTGGAAATTCAGCTCTTTGAATCAACCATCTTCCCCCTGACATAAAAAACAGAATTAGAAGGGAAGGAAAGTCATTTTTTTGAGGAATACTAAAATTGTGAAATAAGTTATCCTCCCTTCTCCTGGAAACCAAATATGAACATTTCCTGTAAAAATCATACCATGTGGATAAATTTAGGAAGCCAGTCAGAAGAGCAGGCTGACATTTGGTTTCCTGGCTGCTGCTTGTTCTGTTACAGGCCTGACTCAAGTCATACCAAACAGGAAAGGAACCATGTGTCAGTCAGTGCC